ATATATATATATATATATATATATATATATATATATATACTGAATTATCGGGTAATCACATGTTAGACATTACGATTTGCTGAAACTTCGCAACAAAATACGCAGACACTTTGCATGGTGACTCGGGTCACAAATCTTCAACCACGAGTTGATCGTATCAAATGAAACATTACGCCGATGGGACTATATAAGTCGTTGCGGTTCAGTAGGATTTCTGCTTAATGACGGAAAATAAATTTCTTCTAGCATTATCAACAAGCTACAGGATAGAAGAGTTAAACTAAAAAGTAAACCTAAAGACGACTTCTCCGCAGCACCAATATCACATATTTCCTGCAACACAGCTAAGAATGAGTCCGGTACTATTTTCGTACGCGACAATGCAAACATCATCTGACGACGCATTGCACTGATATACTTCTCAGAAACCAACATGGAAACATTATGCGACCATTCCAGAGGATCCTGCAACAATTCACAGCAGGTTATTTCAAATCGATGTGAAAATGTTACATCTTTTATTCATGTGTATATTCACACGACTACAAGCAACCGCAAACTTTCTAGACAAGTTAAGGAAAGTTTTTACCTGAATGTTCAAATGTGCAAGTTTGAAAACGCTCCGAACGCTGCTGTCTGGATATAACTGCTGGAACTGATCGAACGAAACAGTATTACCTAGATAGGGACACAGTATTGTGTCCTTCAACTTTAGTTGAACGAACCAAATAAAAAAATCCTGTAAAAGAATAGTTTTAGCAAATTATGTACAAAAACTGCGACCAAAGTTTTCATACTTCGTTAAAACAATGAATTCCCAAGGAAATCATTTCGAAAACTGACATTTAGAGATGTAAGAGATAGTGACCTTAAACAATTTCTCAAGTGTTAGGCAGGATAAATCCACATGATCAACAACGAAATCAATCCTCCACCCATTTACAACCACTTCTTTTTGAGCACGTTGAAGAGGAGGTATATAATTGTATAACTGCAGATATATTACGCACAGCAGGTTCAATATGTATGCATTGAAATGTGATCGCTAGAAAGTTTTATTTTATCAGTTAAATTTTTTTTTTTTTTTTTTTTGCAGAAGGCTTCGTATAAGAGTACAAGAAAAAATTTTTCATCTGCAGAACAAGCAACGTATAGAGAAAGGAAAACAGAAATAAGGCTTCTCGTCCCAAACTATTCACTAATACAAATTTTGAACTTAGCTTGCACGAGTATACAAAAACTTCAATGTTATAACAAAAGCACATTTTCAAAGAAAAGTCCGCCAAAAAAGTTAGACATTATTTCACGGAGATGTAAGTCAATGAAACATAGTAACACTAAAAGGAACAAAAAGAAATTAAAAAAAGATCTACAAGTATTAAAATAAACCAATCAATCGAACTACTTGAAAGGGATAAAACATACCTGTCTTTCATCAACCTTCAACAGCTCATTTATATGAGCCCAAAACCTGAAGGACACAAGAAATTTCCGAATAAGTTGTGAGGAATCACAGTGTACGATACTTCTAAGCCAGTTGGATTTTGCGTAGCCAAGGTAATTATCCACTGATAAGTCCATGGTATGTTTCCTGAAGATGCCGTATTTGTTCTCCAAAGTAAAGATAAGATTTTGAAATACTTACCAAACAATTAAATACTTTTTTGTACGCGGAAAATTTGTGTTTTAATCATTTCCAAATATCTAAACTGATAAAATTTCCTCTTTTTGTAACATACCGATTAACGATAAGTCGCACAAGCGGACAACGAGCGTCTAGTATTGGATATTGACCAGTGACAAGTGCCGTGCCACGCTTACGTATGTCGTTCACTATTTTATTCAACAGACGAACACGATCTTAAAATTTGTTAGTTAATCAATGCAATAAAATTAAACTGCCACTCTGGGTTACATGTGAGAAAATGGGAAATTGTTACGATTATTCAAACAGACTTTTGGCTCTATAATAAAACTATAGCAAAACTGTCAGACCACTCAGTACTCTTTTCATCAGATTAAAGTTAAATGTTTCAGGACGATCAAGGAATTTTGAAAAAGACAATCATAACATGAGAAACAACAGTTATGATTTATATTTTCGATACAATCTGAATTTGATTAATATAGAAGTCTACTACGAACTAACCAGCCTCAGACAGCCTAGCATATTCCTCTGCACAAACTTTACGCCCTCTTAATGCAGTAATGTCGCAAGTCAGCAATATATATTTATTCCTGGCTAAATCCCCCGCACAAGTTGCTTCCGTAAGCGGTACATTGAAAAACAAACTTGCATCCTAAAAAATTTGATTTTCAAATTATGTTATTCTAAACTTCTTAGCATCTCTGGTTCCTTAAGTTTCTTCTTTCATCGAAAAATATTCTGCTAGATTTTCAAATGTTTTTTGCAATGATATATCGAATTTTTTAAAACGAAAACCCATATTTGCAGAAAATCAACTATTAATTGATCAATGGATTTTCAAACGAATGTGAAACTTACAATGTCGGAATCCTTCGTACCAAGAGATGTTAATGAAGAGCCAAAAATTCGGACATGAACATCTGATGAGAAGTAATTGCTGAATGCCACTGCAAGCATTTGGGTACAGTTGGTTCGTTCTTCAACCTGAAAAAGCTTTCCATATATATGATTTTAACTTGATGTGACCAAAACATGCACATTAAAAATGCACTTCAATCTATGACGAGGTCAAACATCCCATGGAAGACATGAATACCGTTCAAATAACACTAAATCTATTTCAAATTCAAGATTTGATTTTGTAACTATACCTCGACATCACTGAGACAATACAGCTTTAATAAGGTATCCACTTGCCCAGCAAATGTAGTCGAGCCATTTATTTCATTAATAAGTTTATCAGTATCGATTACATGTATTTTTGAATTTGCCTTACATTGATCGAAATTTATACTGCGTGCTCGTACCGGTACGACTTGCTGGATTTACAATGATAACTTGCGTGAAGAAAAATATATATTAAAACAAACAATAGTAAAATATAAAGTTACAAGCGGTCCAGCAAAAAAAGAAAATAGAACCGATTTCGTAGAAATTTACTTTCCAGGCAGTTTTGTGAAAGTTTTGTGTTTCCAGGCAGTTTTGTGCCGATTCTTTCCGCAGCTAAAGCCACAATAAAACTTACACGCCCAATACGGACTTTATCTTCAAAAATTGCTTTATGAGCCGAAAATTCTTCATCAAATTCGACGATCACATATTTACCGCTTTTTATATCTAAATGAACTCTTTCTACTTTTCCAAAACAGCTGAGGGCATTTGAAATCTGAAAGAAATACTAGTTAGCGTAGAAAGAGGATTCGAAATTATATCGTAGTGAATCGTTAATTAAATGTGATGCTTGTCAATCTACTAAGGATTGCGCTCTCGCGAATGATAAATTTAAAAGACGAGCACTTTTCAAAGCGACTATACCCCTGGGTTTAACGAGGAAAAGAGTATATAATCACGAAGAGTACCCAAAATTTCACTTTAATCTCTTTTTGCATATTATGTAAGGAGTATCAGCACAAGACAGTTAAATAAAACCTCGCTCTCGGTGACGGCAATTTCAGGATTTAATCCAGAAATAAAAACCGATCGGGCTGCTAAGGCCAGCATTGCGTCACGCTCCATAACCCTTTTATGGTGACGTTTGCCATTTTCGTGCATATTTAGCAGCACTTTCGATGATATTTGGACCTTACACAGATCACACCATTGTACCCCTGCCATCTCTGAAATGTGCTTCGCTCTTGACTTTAAATCAGAATATTTCAGAACAACAGAAACGGAATTTAGTTAATTTCTATTTTTTTTACAGGATTCAATCGTATAGCCGCTGTTAAGTGTTTTATTTTGCAATATTAATCGAGGTTAAATATCAGAATTTGATTTTTACGAGGCCTCTCAACAATTAGAAGTATTCCATCAATCTTTTAATTGATCTGTGACTTTGAGATAAGACAAATAATATCTGGATTTACAACAATACTTTATAAACTTATAAGGATATCAGACCACAAACTTGTATACTATAATTAAAATGACAGGAAGGAGAAAATATTCACTTGATCGAATGTAAACCAGTAGTAATACCGAAAACACTGTAAGTAAAAGCTTCTCACATACTTAAATCAACAAAGTTAGCAAACCAATAACTGACGACTGGAGTTAACACGCCCATAAATCGTCTACGATACAAACTGCATATAAACGAATAGAAAAAGAAACTACAGAAGCTTAGAAGGAAAAAGTGAGAACTAAGCAACATTCCCATCAAAATTTTGAAATTCTAGCATACTACCTGTCGTTCATTCTCGCATACAAACGCTGACTAGAGAATAGCTAACCACAGTAAGAAATGGATAACATGTCGCCATTAAGTTTAATAGAAACAACACAGCAAACTGATGAAAATTAGCAGGAAACTGTTAGTACAGCCATACTTACCGTGAACTCATTTCAAAGAAGAACAACCATTATGCTTTCAAAATATCATTAAGCAAACAATGGCTTTTGTAAAAGATTACGAATGCTTAGAGACAACAGTGCATGGCTACCATCACATACAAATAGGGACTTCAAAAGGAAATTAGGAGCTCTCATCACACGATCTTATTTGTTACGGTCACCGAGATCAATCCAATCACCCCGCTTCTTTTTATAATCGCAGTAGTCTTCCCACCTTCTTTCCATTACATTTTTTCCTGTTCGACGATATTCTGCACGCTCTTTAATATATTCATCAGTGATCTTTTGACGGAACCAAGGATCGTTGAATCTACAAAACCAAGGATTTCAAAAATAAATTTAAGGATAAGTAATAGGTCTAGTGGTGTGTAGATCTATCTGTAAATTATATGAAAGGAAACCTTATATTCGTAACATATATTTGGCCTAAGACGAGAATGAACTTAGTTCAGATGTATGAAGTTAACATAAGCAAGTGACCAATATCCCAAAACCGCTCTCAGCCCAACAGACTATGTAATACATCACGTTTATATTGTGCAAAATTTGCAAGAAACTGCATAAAACTTAATTCGCAAGTTGACATGCTTCGTACCGCTCGAGCTCTTTCTGACATTTTCTCATACCAATGAGGCTGCCTTCTTTTTTCAGACATCGCGTCAGACCTGAAAAGAACTGTCAACAAACTTTAAAACAACAACATATGGAAAAGTACTTTCCAGTCAACTGGTTGCACAATCAAATGGTTGAAGACAACATAGAATTCATTTCATTTTATACATCAAAATATAAAGGAGAAAAAAACTGAACCTTCAAGTGATTCGCGACATTCAACTTTTTGCACCCGTTCGTTCATGCGATCTGGTATTAAAACATCTGCTTCCAGTCGACGCAAGGACCGATCGTTTGGATCTCCTGAAACAGATTTTCGTTACTGAGTTTATTCACATCTATTTTTGAAAATTTCGAAAACCACTTCACTGAGAAATGATGCTCGACATTTGCATCCCTCAATCACGACAGTCACGATAGTGCCTAGCAATTTGCATATTCTTAAAATGATGAAACGAACTAATATCGAAGAGTGACATACAAACCAACTCCATGTGGTCCTCCGATAGACTGCTGTGGTAAGGCAGTTTTCCGCACTCGGAACTTCTGGCCGCTCTCAGAATCTACGAAAATTTCGCCTTCTCTCAAATGATGTAAGTCATCCGTTTTGATCGGTCCATCTGTTGTGCATTCTGTTTTCATATCAAAAATGTCGGCCTCACCTCTACAAATGGCTATTAGACACACAGTTTGACAATTCAACTAACATGGCTAATGCGAAAAAGAAATAAATGAACTGAATACCCTTCAATAAATATGAACATCTGCCATTCTCATTTCACCTCCAGATGTGTTCATGCAAGCATTTGCGACACAGTACACAGCTTCCTTTTTAATCTTTTGCCTATTCTTTCAGAGAATTCCCTTGCATAACCCCGGTCTTTAAGAGAGTACTACTTTTAATACCCAGGCTTTACTGAGTACCACACCAAAAACAATCGGAAAATCTCTTCTACCTGCGGCATCAATAACAAAGAATCTCCTCTCACAATCTAAAGATCGCGGCCAGCTAAAACATAAATGGGCACATTTGTCAGAAGATGCAAACGAGTTTGGTTTATGGCATTGCCTGGATTAAAAGCCAGAAGTAACGAGAATACTTTGGCAAGGATGGAAGTAGTTACATAGCGTGTGGGTTACCCAGTGAGTCATCACTTCCATTCCGCCTTTTTCCATGACCAGGAAACATAACCTTTTTCAGAAATCCCGTCCCTTCGCCTTACAAATTCTCGTGATTTCAGAGGCACTTCTATGCTGTTGCATATGGTTATTTAGTGATATGCACTAGAGCATAACGTCCACCTGATGGTTCGTGGATGAGGAGGCGCAAGTTTTTTTCCATCAAAACATTTTAGTCTGAATGAACTAAGGCTTAATTCCAATACAAATTCAGTCACTCCTATCCTAATCGAGTTAAGTATGGAAAACGTGTGGTTAAATTCGGGCGAAATCCCTCACCTAAACCAAACCAATATGATTTCACCGTTGTTCAGCGTTACTTGTGCTGAATAGACTATTGAGACCATCAAAGTGTCCTAGTTGAGACTCGCAGAGTATCTCAGGTTTGGAAGTTAAATTTGCATAACGACTTTGTGAGAGAAAGCCACTTCTAGCGCATTATAAGGGAGGGAGTGGGGAAAAGCGATGGACGCTGTTGCTTGAATGGCCATAGTGAGGGTTACTTCGCAAAGGTTTAGTCATCCCGATCATTTAGCCCATCAACCTGGGATGTTTAAATTTTGAAATGAAAGGAAGTCAAGAACTTTTCAAATTAAAATCAACATCCTCCATTGTTTGCCTAGACCACCGGCTAATTCATCTGATTCATTTACTTTTTCATTGCACGTTTAGAAATAATTGTGTTTATTGATGCGTGCATGCACACCATCATGTGTGCAAAAAAACACGTTTTTTATTGACTTCTCCATGTAACTTGCGAAGTACATCGTCTAATTTGGTAGGCAGATAGAGACATGAAACTGGCTTACTAACTTAATGACACAGAATAAAGTGTTACTCTTACATCGTTCAAGAAGGAAATATGACATTGACTCTAGAAGTCTTCCAAGCGAGGGCGCAAGGCCACAAGGGTTTGATTTCGCATGTTTGAGAAAGAAAAAAATAAATTGAAAAGTGGAAGAAAGGACATATTGGCATTTCATTGACTCCCTATTTGATTTCCAGTTGGGCAGATCAAGTTGCAGACAGATCAGGCATTATCATCGACTCACTTTAAGATACACCGAATTGATAAAGGGTTGTCTTTTCTTGTTACGACCAATAGCTGGCTATGTGATAGGTAAACATTGTCACTTTCTACGAACTAATTATAGTGCAAGTAAATCCTTTTTTTTTCGTTATTGGCTTGAACCAAAGTAACTTAGAAATTAATTACGAGGTTAGTTCACTTTTATAATCTCTTCATTTTTTATTTTTGATCTTATACTGAAATTTTGAAGATGTTTAGATTATTTATGTGCCATGAACATGAACAGAAAGAGAAAGAAAAAAAGTGGTCACACACTCGTATTTCACAGTTATTAATTTCCAGTATATGAAATTGTTACGGCAGTATAGATAATGGAAAGAGAAAAGATCCTAAAAGAAAAAACCGAAAAGTCGAAATCAGTGATTCCCCAATGAAATTTCTTAGAAGCTATTTTCCCGCTTTTGCTTGACCTTTAATCATTTTCAAAAATTTCCGCTATTCTGAAAACTATGTTTGTACTCTTCTGATCATCTTTTTCCCCTTTCCCTCTCTATTTGCCATTTTTCGTATTTTTCCCTTCCCAGGATTTTTTTTTCTGTTTTAATAAGAAAGACGTGACTTATTTCATTGCTTTAAGCATCACATGAAAATTTCGGTTTTCAGAGAATTCGGTGATAAGGGAATGCAGATCTGGATATGGCGTTTCTATAGCGTTTTTTGTATTGCCTGCTGTTTTTTACTCTCATTTTGCCTGCCACAAAAGCAAGAACTAAAAGTGAGTAATTTTTGATGGCATTTGCCGATAGACATAACTGTTCTATATATGGATTTCTTTATGAATACGCAATTGTCTTTCAAAGAAATAAATCCATTTATCTCTGATACAGTTCGCCCCAGTCTCTAACATAGTTGTTTTCTGCATAGGATGTTTGGTTCGTTCCATTAAAAAGATTTCTTTGTTTTTTAATGAGATTTGGTACTGGTGAAATTCGAAAAGAAATGAAATAGAAAAATTTGTTAGAAATCAAACTTTCGCTTTGGTCGGAAAATCTTTTGAGAAAAAGATTTTGAAAAAAAGTCAAAAAAAATTTTAAAAATAGCAGGAAGCTCCGTTTCCAACTTTTTATTAGGAGTCAAGATTTTGATTGCAGAAATAGCTGCTAACTTTTAAGTATTGGAAAAGCCAATTATAGTTGTGTAATAGATTAAGCTTTCATTCGGTTGCAGCCGATAAGTGATACTAGCTTCACCGAAAAGAAAACACATCTAGCTGGAATCAGAGTTGAAGGATTACCGTCCGAGGATAACGGTTTCGTCGGTTATAAGTAAGTTGCATATTATTCGGCATATTGTGACATGTTTCCACTAGCTCTGGGTGATTTTTACCGTCTTTTTTTCAACCAAATTTATTAACGACAGTAAGAGTTATATGATTGCCAGTTGCACAAAGCAGATATCATTGATTTTCGAACAAAATTTTAAAAGATTGCTTAAGCAAAGTTAAGTTTTATCAAAGAACTATTCACAAACTAAATTACCATTTCATTATACGTCATATTTTAATGGGAGGGGATGAGGGGAAGTCCCGAAATTTAAAGTATCACTGAAGCATCACGTCCGAGGATAACGGTTTCGTTGGTTATAAGTGATTCGGCATATTATGGTATATTTGCGCTAACACTGATTCTTTTACCTTTCTTTCAAAATAAAAATGGTTTGATTTGTAAGGATACCTCCTGTTTTTACATCCTTTGTTGAGTATAATAAATATAAAAATGATGCTTTCGGTGCATCAGTACATCGCGGTGTAGAAAAATGTGAAGTAAGGTTTAGTACATTGAGATGTAACATTCATTAAAAAACTGTAGTCTCTATCACTGACATCTGCAAGTTTTGATATTTCAGTTATATTTTTGCATGAAAGAATGTCTGCAAGTGGAGACTTATCATGCAAATTTCAAATCTTGAGATTTCATTGAATCAATTTAGTAATTAGCACTTTTGTGTGATGGTGGAGAATCAGTGGAGTTAGTGAATCATCTCACAAACCATAAAAAAGCATTTTCTGAAGACTGTTTGTATCGGAAACTTTGTTGACGGAGAAATTTAATGACTGAAAATAATTTTGTAAATCTACAACGGCTGAGGATGATGTAATGTTAAGTGCTAAACATCATTTCACTTTCCAACTTTCCTTTAATAAAGAGCATTGGAAAGATTTTTCACATGGCTTTTTCACTGAGTAAAAAAATGTTCTTGAGCAGTTGAATTATTCATAAGTGAAGTAAGGAAATGACTGGAATATAAAGTAAAACTGTGCATGCAGTGCTGAAGTTAAACGGGTTTAGAATGAAATCGTAGTCAAAAAATTTTTTTCGAACCATTTATTTGAATAAAATCATAGGAAGTAGTGATCGTTTGGAATGTGCGAATGCCGTAAATATTACTTCGTTTCACTAGTACAGATTTTTGTTGTTTCAGCACTTTTTTATTTTCTAGACTAGTTTTGTCAATTATCCGATCACACCGTATCCAAAATTTTCTGGAATTAGCTGTGTAGTTGATATGTATGAGATCAGAATATATTTTTTCTCCAACTACACACGAGCGATGGCGATGTATTCTAGACTTTCTAATCGGCCATGAATTAGATGATTTGATACATTCTGGAATTGCAGTGATAAAGAAGTATCGATAGTACAGCCGGATGTTCCAGTTCGAGTGGTACTGTTTGGTTTTGGAATGGACGATATAGCGCTGGTTGTTTTCACCCGGGTTTGGAATAACTGTTCAGTGTCCGACATTGAGATCACACAACCCGATTTTACTATCCAGACCGAAAAACGTGTGGTCGTCAAGGCAGCATTCCCTGAGTTTGTTCCAATTTATTCTATTACTTATATTTTCTGCTGAAATTACTTTGATTGGTTCTTATTTAACTGGCTATTGACTACTGCAGAGTTAGTCTTCATCTTTTTTTTTCTAAAATTCGTTTGTTCTTAATTTACAGTTCGGCAGATCTCTATTATGTATGCGTTAAACAGAAACCAAAGGAAAATGCGCAAGGTGAAGAGATTGAGCAGCATTTCGTTGTGGTCAGTTTCTCCTTATAGATTGGATTAAAATAATGATGAAATAAAAAACTGAATATTTAGAAGTAATATTTTGTTTAATGCAGAAATAAATTCAATTAATTGGCTTGAATGATATTTCTTTGGATAATATTAATCCCTATGCTGTTAAACACAGTTTATGATAATGCGTCCATATAAAGAATAAAGCATTGTGGAATTGGTTTGTATCCCATGTTTGAGGAACATCTGTCACACTAAATTAAGTTCTGTCTTACTGATGAATCGATAGTCTTTCCTAAAAATACACTTTAATAACTGCAAAAATAAGGATGATGTGGTACTGATATGTTGAGACTAAG